ACTGTTCTTCGCAAGCACTGTTTCTTTTCCTTTTTTTTTTTTTTTTTTTTTTTTTCTTTGTATGTTGTTCCAAAAGTAGGGTACTGATTTGCTGGCAAATTATGTCTTGTACTTGTAGGTTTGCTAGTAGGTTGACAGGAATCAAAGAGAATGAAAAGTTTCAAAAGAATAGCCAGAACAATGAACAAGCTCCAGGCCTAAAACTTGTTGTAGATGAAGCCAAGCAGCATCACAATGTGAAGTAAGTACTTGAAGTTTTCTTATTACTGCACATGACGCATTTATCATTTATGAGTAGAAAAGGAAACATTTTACGTGCCCTTCACATTGCAAATTAACATTTTTTCCCCTTTAAAACAGGTTTGTTTATGTCTGGCATGCATTGGCTGGTTACTGGGGTGGAGTCAAACCTGCAGCAGCTGGCATGGAGCACTATGATACAGCATTAGCATATCCTATTCAGTCCCCAGGAATTTTAGGCAACCAGCCAGACATAGTCATGGACAGCCTTGCCGTTCATGGTCTTGGTTTGGTGCATCCAAAGAAGGTTTTCAACTTCTACAATGAGCTCCATGCTTACCTGGCTTCATGTGGAGTTGATGGAGTGAAGGTTGATGTGCAAAACATCATTGAGACCCTGGGTGCTGGCCATGGTGGCAGAGTCTCTCTCACACGGAGTTATATTCAGGCCCTTGAAGCTTCGATTTCTCGGAACTTCCCTGACAATGGATGCATAGCTTGCATGTGCCATAATACTGATGGAATCTATAGTGCCAAGCAGACTGCTGTGGTTAGAGCTTCAGATGACTTCTATCCTCGTGACCCTGCCTCACACACCATCCACATTTCCTCAGTGGCATATAACACTATTTTCCTTGGAGAGTTTATGCAACCTGACTGGGACATGTTCCATGTAAGTAAAAACAAAACTATTTATATTTTGTTAGTCCATTAAACCATTTGCTAATTTCTTATGCAAAACACAACAAGCATTTTCATTAGGCTGCTGATGTTCAAAGACTAACTATGACAATTTTGATAGACTTTCTTAATTTGCTTGAGATTTGAACTCAAAAAAGGGGAGTAGGTAAGTTAGTATGTTATATTAATGAAGGTACCTATGATTTGCAGAGCTTACACCCAGCTGCTGAATATCATGCTGCTGCTCGTGCAGTTGGAGGATGTTCAATTTATGTCAGGTACTGTTATGCTATAGTTTAATTGTATTAATGTCTTAACTAATTTAAGGATTCATATAATTAAAATTGTCTATTTTTTTCCTGTTCTGTTGCAGTGATAAGCCTGGCAACCACAACTTTGAGCTCTTAAAGAAGCTGGTTCTTCCTGATGGATCAGTACTCCGTGCCCAACTTCCTGGGAGGCCCACTCGTGACTGCCTCTTTGTTGATCCCGCCAGAGATGGGGTCAGGTGTGTGTCATTTTTTCTTGCTACCTTTTAACACCTTTTTTGTTTAGATTGGTGTCAGCTTTACCAGCAAAGTTGTATACTGCAGCTTACTCAAGGTGTGGAATGTGAACAAATGCTCTGGTGTGGTTGGTGTCTTCAACTGTCAAGGTGCTGGTTGGTGCAAAGTCACTAAGAAAACCCGCATTCACGATGCGTCTCCTGGTACCCTAACTGGTTCTGTTCGTGCTACTGATGTTGAACCAATTGCTCAGATTGCTGGTTCAGATTGGAAAGGAGAGACCATAGTTTATGCTCATAGAAGTGGTAATTACTTTGCATTCCAGCTATACCTGTGCAATTTTCAACTTAAGACAATACTTGAAGAAACATAGAATCATATGTTAGTAAATGCTAAAGAAGTTTCTTCTTGATTCAGGGGAAGTGATACGATTACCAAAAGACGCTTCAGTGCCTGTCACGCTTAAAGTTCTTGAGTATGAACTGTTCCACTTCTGTCCACTCAAGGTCAGACTCTTCCAGTTCTGTGTTGAAGATGCTTTGTTAATCTTACATTGAAGTGCTAACTAAATGGCCTTATCTATGATGTAGGAAATCACCTCAACATTTCATTTGCACCAATTGGTTTGCTTGACATGTTGAACTCCAGCTATGCTGTGGAGCAAGTGG